TCTCTTGACGTGGAGGAGACGGATATGCGGAGACGTGACGATGAATTATCCCCGTGTTTGTATCTGTATGGCTCTGCGCGTTCCCTTGTGTAACGTTCTTGCTGATTCTCGTCTCGCTCGGTAACTGAATCATTTCAATGTAGACCGACGTATAAGTCCACACAGATCCCTCCGCGTAGCCTTAGTGGCACTTATTAAGGCCGGCACGGCACACGAGGGGGTGGGTGGCCGACACCACGCCCGGCCGCCTTTGTCTCCCCAGTGGCGATGTTGACTACACACCGCACCAGGTACTCATTTGAGGCCGAGTCGACCTAGGGGAGGCCCAGGACCGGTTCAGATAATCGTCACTGGTGTTGGTGGCCGTGAGCGGGGTTCGTAGCGCAGCGTAGCACTAATCACTACACTACCGCTCCCCCATTAACTAAGTAATTTAAACGCACACATGTAGACATACATACAGACATACACACGCAAGGACATATTTAGATACACAAGTAGAGACAAATTACGTTGTTAAACGCCTACACAAACATACACATTTACATGCACGCAATGTAAACACACATTGACATATACCATTGCATATGCAGAGACACAAAATACAGACACGCACACACACACAGGCAGACGTAGATATTAACGACGTAAACCACTACAAACATACACACAAAAGACAAAGATTCCCCGTATAGCCTTCACAGAACTGTTGGGGCAAGTGCTGGAAGGTGGAAAACATCAGGCATACGCACACACAGGCCCCGTCTGAACGGAGACACAACTCACGACGCTGGACAACAACACAAGTTTGATTACATCCAGAAGGCAACCCTCGTGGTCTTTGTGGGAGGGGGGTGGAGGCGAGCCCACGGTCTTCGCAACGTTAACAACTCGCAACGCAGGGAATCACGCTCCATCGCCACCACCGTCATCGTCATCATCGGCAACAAAATAGTAACTCTAATGGATAAACAGTGGCGGATTAAGCTCGTGCGGGGAACTGTAGCGTGCGTTGTAATAAATGGGCCCTAAATAATAAACACACAAATGTGAAAACACAGATGTTTAACTTGCATAGTAAAGTAATTGTATTTTTTCATTTGCTATACAGCCAGAAAATACGACGAATCGCTAACCTGAAACACCCGGTCGTTCGTCAAAGTTGAAGGCGGTATAGTACTATAGTAATAGAGCAAGTGCAGAATCACCGGAATTGAGAGCTTGAAAGCGTTTAGCGCGAGGCCCTTGAAAGTGCGGGGCCCGTAGCCTGTGCAGGTACTTTAGCCACGAGGATAATCCGGCACTGTGTATAACGCGCATTCCATCTGAGGATTCCCGATTGTGCAATGCGTGAAAAGGGAGTGAAGTGGAAAACGGAAAACAGCAAACCCAGAGCCAACCGAACAATCCGGAAAAGGGAAGACTCCGTTTAAAGAGACTCAAACACATCTCAGTTTAACACGTAATAAATCTAGATTGAATAATATTACGCATCGTCTTTGAAACTGATTGGCCTACACCAGAGACGGAATGCTTCTTTAGGGCCCGGTCTCACCACCGGCGTCAGACCAGAGAACAACGCCAAAAGGCGAACAGTGGATGATGCCAGCAGCCTCTGTAGAAGTTATCTCTGATCCGCGCGTCCCCCCCCCCACACGTCTCTCAGCGTAACCTGCAGCGGTCGCTATCCTCCCGGTCGGTCCCGTCTTCCCCGAGGTCACCGATAACGATCGTGTTTCTCACCACAACCTGCAATCCTCAAATTGTTCTAGTTTTGATTACCCGCGCGCCTGTGTGGCGGTGGTTACCCGCCCTTGGCCTGCAATGCAGCACCGTGGAGGCAGCAGCGAGGGGTTGGTGGATCACGTACAGATGCTGCCGTGAAACTCCCCGTGGGCGTCGGGTGGGATGAGCCACATCCCGGCTCCCCAGGGAGGAGGCTTGCATAGCAACACACGCAAGGACATTTTTACATGCACAAGTAGAGACAAATTACAATGTTAAACGCCTACACAAATATACACATTTACATGCACGCAATGTAAACACACATTGACATAAACAAATGAAGATGCACAGACACGAAGACTTAACGACATACACAATTACAGACACGCACACACACAGGCAGACGTAGATATTAACGACGTACACCACTACAAACATACACACAAAAGACAAAGATTCCCTGGATGGGATACAGTGTTGCTCCCTCGCATCCCCAGGTGTTGCAGTTTCCCTCCCGCGCGTAAACGCCCATTGGTCGGCTGCCGATAACGGCCTCGTGTGTCTGGGACCGCAGAGCGTGGGGCGATTGTTGGTCGTGCTCGCTCACCACCCCGCTGCTGCCTTCCCGCTCGGCCGTGGTTCCTCCTCTGCGTCACTCTCTCTCTCTCTCTTACAGAGTGAGTGAATACAGTACTCTTGACTTGACGACGATGATGATGATTATTATTATGACAGTACACGGCAGTCTAGTAACACATTTCCATGGTGAGTTTTTAATTTCCTGCCACGGGCTCTTAGGGCCCATCTCTGACTTCTGATCGGTCGATTAGCCTCCAGATTTTGGCTCGCGAGTGAGCAGACTGAGAGTGAGTTTTAAGTTTGAAATAATTGGGAATTTTGCGACGTACGTTTTTTTCCCCCCTTGAACGGCGACTACGGATGTTTTTTTTTGTATTCTTCGTTTAACTCGTAGGCTTTCGCGACCAGTACTATTCATAATAAAGGCTGTTGGGTTATATCGTGTAAGTATGAATGTGTCGCAACCCTCCACCACCCGACACGGCCAATCAGTAAAAAAATGTTGTCACGTTAACAAAACTCCAATTATTTACTTCTTCAGCCCACCGGTGTGTTTGAAGAGTGAATCCACAACATTTAGAATTTGAGTAGTACGACGTTTCGTCGGTAATTGCATAACATTCGATGGAACAAACTCCTCCACCCCCTCCACATGAAGCGGTCACCTTCACTCACTCGTTTCTGCCCCGCACTGAAAACCCAACACTTATTGTTCCAGGGCATCACCCCACGACCCCCCGTAATCTCCCTCCTCGTAACCACCAACTGACCGCCGTTACTGTTCCCTCTTCGTGTTCTCATTACGCGGCTCTCACTCATTAACCCCCGCCCATTGAATCCGCTCATCATCATCATCATTCACTGCCATCAAACTTGGCTCTCCGCCGAATTCACGCATCACAGACGTGCTCCTTGCCGTCCCCCTAGTTCACTCACCTCGTCTCCAACACTGTACACCCATACGTTGTACCGGTGCCAATTCTGCGCAGAGCGCCCCGGATAAGGCGCTACAGAAATTACTCATAGAAACAAGATAACATGCGGTTTGTGCGTCTTTGTGCCGTTAGCCGCTGAGAGTTGAGGGGTCGGAGGTCAGACGCTGCAGGGCGTGGGGAGGCCCTCATCCAGCAGTGGATTGAGACAGTACTTGTCCAATGAGCTGCCACCTCCTCTGATCAATCTCGCCTTGCCGCCTTTTGCGCAGAGCGCACCCGCACACATTTCAGAGTCGGCGCCCGGCTTCTATTAAAACTCTGCAGGACGCGGTGATGGGTTGTTAACTACCTCGCCTGGTATACAGGAGGTCGTGGGTTCGATCCCGACCCTGACGATGCCTGCTGCTGCTGTATATTTGGAGTTTGCGTGTCTCTCTCTCTCTCATCATAATCATCACAGTGGCTAGGAGATGTTAACTACCTCGCCTGGTACACAGGAGGACGTGGGTTCGATCCCGACCCTGAACGCTTGTTGCTCTACATTTTGAGTGAACGCGTCTCTCTCTCTCTCTCCCCGTGGTTGCGTGGATTTTTGTCCGGGTCCTCCGGTGTTTCCCTCCACAATTAGAATCAACGTCACGCCTTTCGAGTGTCTGGCTGCTATCAATTTCCACCTGACCATGATGCTGAGCCACTTCGTTGAGCTCTCATTTGTGATCGCCAGTTGGTGGCTTCTGACAAAGAGCCACTACTTTGCAGCTCAGTGGCCCTTGCCCCGTAAAATAAATGAATAAAAGAGTTTGTAGGTTTCTTTTTTATAGTTTTGAATAAAGTTCAACTCAGCACCGGTACCAGATCTGGGAACAAATCAATTCCTGCCACCCGAACGCAGATGCCAATTTCCGGGACTGTCGCAGCCGGCAACGCTATCTGGGCCCCAACCCACACAAGCTGGGCCACCTCGTGCCCAACGTAGCTGCTCCACCTCTTACACTCGGCTGAGCCACCTCGTCAGGGTCACGTCCCCCTGTGTCTCCCACCTCGTGGGGGGTCATGTCTCCTGTCTCCCACCTCGTCAGGGTCACGTCCCCCTGTCTCCCACCTCGTGGGGGTCATGTCTCCTGTCTCCCACCTCGTCAGGGTCACGTCCCCCTGTGTCTCCCACCTCGTGGGGGGTCACGTCTCCTGTCTCCCACCTCGTCAGGGTCACGTCCCCCTGTCTCCCACCTCGTGGGGGTCACGTCTCCTGTCTCCCACATCGCCAGGGTCACGTCCCCCTGTGTCTCGCACCTCGTGGGGGTCATGTCTCCTGTCTCCCACCTCGTCAGGGTCACGTCCCCCTGTGTCTCCCACCTCGTGGGGGGTCACGTCTCCTGTCTCCCACCTCGTCAGGGTCACGTCCCCCTGTGTCTCCCACCTCGTGGGGGGTCACGTCTCCTGTCTCCCACCTAATCAGGGTCACGTCCCCCTGTCTCCCACCTCGTGGGGGTCACGTCTCCTGTCTCCCACCTCGTCAGGGTCACGTTCCCCTGTGTCTCCCACCTCCTCCTTATCCCCTGCGTCTCCCACCTCGTCACGTCCTCTCTGTCACCCACCTCGTCACGTCCTCCTTGTATCTTACACCTCGTGGGGGTTCACGTCTCCTGTCTCCCACCTCGTCACGGTCCCCACGTCCCCCTGTCTCTTCCACCTCGTCACACCCCCCCCCCGTGTCTCCCACCCCCCCCCCCCCCACGCCCCCTCCCCAAACCACCCCAGATGGACGCGGCCACGCTGGACGCGCTGGCGGAGCGCCTCTACCGCGTGCTCAAGGTGGAGCCGTTCGTCGTGAAGGGCTCCAGGGAGGGCGACGAGAGGGCGCCGCCGGGCCGCGGGGGGGACGCGCCGCCCGCCGAGGGCGGCGGCCGGGCCGTGAGCCCCGGCGTCAAGAAGAAGGAGCGCAAGGAGAAGAAGTCCGGCCGCCACGTGGACCACAAGGCCACCGAGGTCGCCAACGCGGTGGGTGAGGCTCGCGCGGGCGCCCTTGCGTGTGGCGGGGAGGAGGTGCCCGCGGGGGGGTGGCGGTGGGCAGGGGTGGGCGGTGGTGGGCAAGGGGGGGTGATGGTGGGCAGGGGTGGGCGGTGGTGGGCAGGGGGGGGTGATGGTGGGCAGGGGGGGGGCGATGGTGGGCAGGGGTGGGCGGTGGTGGGCAGGAGGGGTGATGGTGGGCAGGGGTGGGCGGTGGTGGGCAGGGGGGGGTGATGGTGGGCAAGGGGGGTGATGGTGGGCAGGGGGGGGCGGTGGTGGACAGGGGGGGTGATGGTGGGCAGGGGGGGTGATGGTGGGCAGGGGTGGGCGGTGGTGGACAGGGGTGGGTGGTGGTGGGCAGCAGAAGGGGCAACTTCATAGGCGAAGTATAAATGTGCCATAACCCTCCACCACCCCGACACGGCCAGTAAAGTTTGTCACGTAAACAACGCGTGCCAATTGGTGACTACTTCAGCCCGCGGGTGTGTTGGAGAGTAAATCCACTTCAATGTTGTGGATTTACCCTCCAACGCACCGGTGGGCTGAAGCAATAAACGAATTGGCACGCGTTGTTGATGTGACAAATCCCTTACTGGCTGGGTCGGGTGGTGGCGGGTCACGACACATTTATACTCCATGCGATCTCACCCAAAAAACCTCGATTATGAATAATATTGGTCGCGAAAGCCTACTACGTGATAAACTTCATGGGTGAAGTTTAACTTCTATATTTGTCCCATCGCTTCAATGAAGTGGCCTACAGTATAACTCCATTGGGCTGTCGTTTGTGTTGGCGGTCATGCACAACTAGTATTTGCGTGGCCTTATGAGGAACCAATGTATAATCGTCAACGTTTCAGGTAATGGCCCCTCATAGCTCAAACTCTACTCTTGTACCAGGTGAGACCCACTGAGCAAGGCAGTCGCTCTTCTTCAGAAGCGACCTGGCCACCACAAATGACAGCTCAACGAAGTTGGCGGCTTATCATCATCATCATCATGTGGACATTTTATAGCAGCAGCCAAATAACTCTAAACGCGTGATGACGTCGATTCTAAGTGTGGAGGGGAAAACCGGAGGACCCGGAGAAAAATCCACGCGACCATGGGGAGAGAGAGAGACACGCAAACTCCAAATATACAGCAGCACGCACCAGGGGTCAGGATCGATCCTACGGCCTTCTGTATACCAGGCGAGGTAGTTAACATTTCCTAGCCACCGTGATGATGATGAGAGACACGCAATCTCCAAATATACAGCAGCAGACCTCAGGGGTCAGGATCGAATTGACGACCTTCTGTATACCAGGCGAGGTAGTTAACATCTCCGAGCCACCGTGATGATGATGATGAGAGAGACACGCAGACTCCAAATATACAGCAGCAGGTGTCAAGGGTCGGGATCGAACCTACGACCTCCTGTACACCGGGCGAGGGAGTTACACAGAAGAATTACCCTTTGGCTTTGTACAGCCCCGGGCCTACAGAAACCACAAGGGGTTCTTGGAGCTTCGAAGTAACCTTGGGGTTAGTAGCTGCTCAGTTTCTATGATTATTATTAGTTATCATCATCATCAAGTGCGTATGACACGGTGAGGCAATATCACTACTGTGTATTCAGTTACTATTTACGTTCCCCTAACGTGTCAAGCAACTGTCAATGGCAGTGTTTCTTTGGTGAGGGTCGCAACAGCCAGAGTAAGGCTGCCTTTGGGAATCGTAGGGTTAATTGTGAATGCATGAAGCTCATAGAGCCAGAATATGGCTTCCCTTATAATTCATAGGGGTGATTGTGAATGCATGAGGCTCATTGCGCCAGACTAATGCTCCCTTGCAATTTATAGGGGCGATTGTGAATACATGAGGCTCATAGAGCCAGACTAATGCCGTCTTAGGAGTAATAGGGTTCAGTGCTCATAGAGCTAGATTGAGGCTCTCTTATGAGTCGTAGGGTTCAGTGTTAATTCCCAATGCTTATATGGCCAGACTAAGGCTCCTTTAGGTATCCTGAGGTTCAGTGATAATTCCTAAGGTTCGTAGAGACCGACTATGGCTCTCTTCGGATTTGTGCAGTGTATTGTTAATTTCTGAAGTGGGGGGTCATTGTCTTTGTGTGTGTTTGTGTGTGTGTGTTTGTGTTACAGGCAGGCAATCACGAGCGAGCTGTGGATGGGAGTGATGGAGAGATTACAGGTACACACACAAATACATAAACACATAAATGCACAAACACATACATACATAAACACATAATCACGTAAATACACAAATACATAACCACATTAACACATAAATACGTAAACACGCAAATGCATAAACACATACATACACAAACACACAGATACATAAATACATAAACGCGCAAATACATAAACATGCAAATACATAAACACGTAAATACATAACCACGTAAATACATAAACACAAACACATAAACACGTAAATACATAAACACGTAAATACATAAACACATAATACATAAACACACAAATGCATGAAAACATAAACACGCAAATATATAAACATGTAAATGCATAAACACATAAATACGTAAATGCATAAACACGTAAATGCATAAATACATAAACACAAACACACTAAGTGCATAAATACATAAACACATAAATGCATACATACTTAAATGCATAAACAAACACAAACACAAAATACATAAACATAAATACGTAAATACATAAACACGTAAATACATAAACATGGTAACACGCGCTTACACCCACATAGAATCATGATGGTGAGTGATGTGTGGTTAGTGATGATGGTGAATGATGTGTGGTTAGTGATGATGGTGAGTGATGTGTGGTTAGTGATGGTGGTGAGTGATGTGTGGTTAGTGATGGTGAGTGGTGTGTGGTTAGTGATGGTAGTGAGTGATGTGTGGTTAGTGATGGTGGTGAGTGATGTGTGGTTAGTGATGGTGGTGAGTGGTGTGGTTAGTGATGGTGGTGAGTAATGTGTGGTTAGTGATGGTGGTGAGTGATGTGTGGTTAGTGATGATGGTGAGTGATGTGTGGTAAGTGATGATGGTGAGTGATGCGTGGTTAGTGATGATGGTGAGTGATGTGTGGTGAGTGATGGTGGTGAGTGATGTGTGGTTAGTGATGATGGTGAGTGATGTGTGATTAGTGATGGTGGTGAGTGATGTGTGGTTAGTGATGGTGAGTGATGTGTGGTTAGTGATGGTGGTGAGTGATGTGTGATTAGTGATGGTGGTGAGTGATGTGTGGTTAGTGATGGTGAGTGATGTGTGGTTAGTGATGATGGTGAGTGATGTGTGATTAGTGATGGTGGTGAGTGATGTGTGATTAGTGATGGTGGTGAGTGATGTGTGGTTAGTGATGGTGAGTGATGTGTGGTTAGTGATGGTGGTGAGTGATGTGTGGTTAGTGATGATGGTGAGTGATGTGTGGTTAGTGATGGTGAGTGATATGTGGTTAGTGATGGTGGTGAGTGATGTGTGGATAGTGATGGTGTGTGTTTAGTGATGGTGAGTGATGTGTGGTTAGTGATGATGGTGAGTGATGTGTGGGTAGTGATGATGGTGAGTGATGTGTGGTTAGTGATGGTGAGTGATGTGTGGTTAGTGATGATGGTGAGTGATGTGTGATTAGTGATGATGGTGAGTGATTTGTTGTTAGTGATGGTGAGTGATGTGTCGTTAGTGATGGTGGTGAGTGATGTGTGGTTAGTGATGATGGTGAGTGATGTGTGGTTAGTGATGGTGGTGAGTGATGTGTGGTTAGTGATGGTGGTGAGTGATGTGTGGTTAGTGGTGGTGTGTGGTTAGTGATGGTGAGTGATGTGTGGTTAGTGATGATGGTGAGTGATGTGTGGGTAGTGATGATGGTGAGTGATGTGTGGTTAGTGATGGTGAGTGATGTGTGGTTAGTGATGATGGTGAGTGATGTGTGATTAGTGATGATGGTAAGTGATTTGTGGTTAGTGATGGTGAGTGATGTGTGGTTAGTGATGATGGTGAGTGATGTGTGGTTAGTGATGGTGGTGAGTGATGTGTGGTTAGTGATGATGGTGAGTGATGTGTGATTAGTGATGGTGGTGAGTGATGTGTGGTTAGTGATGGTGAGTGATGTGTGGTTAGTGATGGTGGTGAGTGGTGTGTGGACAGTGATGGTGAATGATGTGTGGTTAGTGATGGTGGTGAGTGGTGTGTGGTTAGTGATGGTGAGTGATGTATGGTTAGTGATGGTGGTGAGTGGTGTGTGGTTAGTGATGGTGAGTGATGTGTGGTTAGTGATGGTGGTGAGTGGTGTGTGGTTAGTGATGGTGAGTGATGTATGGTTAGTGATGGTGGTGAGTGGTGTGTGGTTAGTGATGGTGAGTGATGTGTGGTTAGTAATGGTGGTGAGTGATGTGTGGTTAGTGATGATGGTGAGTGATGTGTGGTTAGTGATGGTGAGTGATGTGTGGTTAGTGATGGTGGTGAGTGATGTGTGGTTAATGATGGTGGTGAGTGATGTGTCGTTAGTGATGGTGGTGAGTGATGTGTGGTTAGTGATGGTGAGTGATGTGTGGTTAGTGATGGTGGTGAGTGATGTGTGGTGAGTGATGATGGTGAGTGATTTGTGGTTAGTGATGGTGAGTGATGTGTGGGTAGTGATGATGGTGAGTGATTTGTGGTTAGTGATGGTGAGTGATGTGTGGGTAGTGATGATGGTGAGTGATGTGTGGTAAGTGATGATGGTGAGTGATGTGTGGTTAGTGATGATGGTGAGTGATGTGTGGTGAGTGATGGTGGTGAGTGATGTGTGGTTAGTGATGATGGTGAGTGATGTGTGATTAGTGATGGTGGTGAGTGATGTGTGGTTAGTGATGGTGAGTGATGTGTGGTTAGTGATGGTGGTGAGTGATGTGTGGTTAGTGATGATGGTGAGTGATGTGTGGTTAGTGATGGTGAGTGATATGTGGTTAGTGATGGTGGTGAGTGATGTGTGGATAGTGATGGTGTGTGGTTAGTGATGGTGAGTGATGTGTGGTTAGTGATGGTGGTGAGTGGTGTGTGGATAGTGATGGTGAGTGATGTGTGGTTAGTGATGGTGGTGAGTGGTGTGTGGTTAGTGATGGTGAGTGATGTATGGTTAGTGATGGTGGTGAGTGGTGTGTGGTTAGTGATGGTGAGTGATGTGTGGTTAGTGATGGTGGTGAGTGGTGTGTGGTTAGTGATGGTGAGTGATGTATGGTTAGTGATGGTGGTGAGTGGTGTGTGGTAAGTGATGGTGAGTGATGTGTGGTTAGTGATGGTGGTGAGTGATGTGTGGTTAGTGATGATGGTGAGTGATGTGTGGTTAGTGATGGTGAGTGATGTGTGGTTAGTGATGGTGGTGAGTGATGTGTGGTTAGTGATGGTGAGTGATATGTGGTTAGTGATGGTGGTGAGTGATGTGTGGTGAGTGATGGTGGTGAGTGATGTGTGGTGAGTGATGATGGTGAGTGATTTGTGGTTAGTGATGGTGAGTGATGTGTGGGTAGTGATGATGGTGAGTGATTTGTGGTTAGTGATGGTGAGTGATGTGTGGGTAGTGATGATGGTGAGTGATGTGTGGTAAGTGATGATGGTGAGTGATGTGTGGTTAGTGATGATGGTGAGTGATGTGTGGTGAGTGATGGTGGTGAGTGATGTGTGGTAAGTGATGATGGTGAGTGATGTGTGATTAGTGATGGTGGTGAGTGATGTGTGGTTAGTGATGGTGAGTGATGTGTGGTTAGTGATGGTGGTGAGTGATGTGTGGTTAGTGATGATGGTGAGTGATGTGTGGTTAGTGATGGTGAGTGATATGTGGTTAGTGATGGTGGTGAGTGATGTGTGGATAGTGATGGTGTGTGGTTAGTGATGGTGAGTGATGTGTGGTTAGTGATGACGGTGAGTGATGTGTGGGTAGTGATGATGGTGAGTGATGTGTGGTTAGTGATGGTGAGTGATGTGTGGTTAGTGATGATGGTGAGTGATGTGTGATTAGTGATGATGGTGAGTGATTTGTGGTTAGTGATGGTGAGTGATGTGTCGTTAGTGATGGTGGTGAGTGATGTGTGGTTAGTGATAATGGTGAGTGATGTGTGGTTAGTGATGGTGGTGAGTGATGTGTGGTTAGTGATGGTGGTGAGTGATGTGTGGTTAGTGGTGTTGTGTGGTTAGTGATGGTGAGTGATGTGTGGTTAGTGATGATGGTGAGTGATGTGTGGGTAGTGATGATGGTGAGTGATGTGTGGTTAGTGACGGTGAGTGATGTGTGGTTAGTGATGATGGTGAGTGATGTGTGATTAGAGATGATGGTGAGTGATTTGTGGTTAGTGATGGTGAGTGATGTGTGGTTAGTGATGATGATGAGTGATGTGTGGTTAGTGATGGTGGTGAGTGATGTGTGGTTAGTGATGATGGTGAGTGATGTGTGATTAGTGATGGTGGTGAGTGATGTGTGGTTAGTGATGGTGAGTGATGTGTGGTTAGTGATGGTGGTGAGTGGTGTGTGGATAGTGATGGTGAGTGATGTGTGGTTAGTGATGGTGGTGAGTGGTGTGTGGTTAGTGATGATGGTGAGTGATGTGTGGTTAGTGATGGTGGTGAGTGGTGTGTGGATAGTGATGGTGAGTGATGTGTGGTTAGTGATGGTGGTGAGTGGTGTGTGGTTAGTGATGGTGAGTGATGTATGGTGCGTGATGGTGGTGAGTGGTGTGTGGTTAGTGATGGTGAGTGATGTGTGGTTAGTGATGGTGGTGAGTGATGTGTGGTTAGTGATGATGGTGAGTGATGTGTGGTTAGTGATGGTGAGTGATGTGTGGTTAGTGATGGTGGTGAGTGATGTGTGGTTAATGATGGTGGTGAGTGATGTGTCGTTAGTGATGGTGGTGAGTGATGTGTGGTTAGTGATGGTGGTGAATGATGTGTGGTTAGTGATGGTGAGTGAGTGGTGTGTGGTTAGTGATGGTGATGAGTGATGTGTGGTTAGTGATGGTGAGTAATGTGTGGTTAGTGATGATGGTGAGTGATGTGTGGTTAGTCAGGGTGAGTGATGTGTGGTTAGTGATGGTGGTGAGTGATGTGTGGTTAGTGATGGTGGTGAGTGATGTGTGGTTAGTGATGATGGTGAGTGATGTGTGGTTAGTGATGGTGGTGAGTGATGTGTGGTTAGTGATGGTGGTGAGTGATGTGTGGTTAGTGA